AAGAATATAGGTCCCCATTGTCCAATGACTCATTTGTTAGTATATGGTAAAAATATGGTCAAAGTTATAAGAAGCTACTAATACACTTCTTTGATAAGAGTCCGGATGAATCTACTTTGAGTTGGTGTATGGGATTGGATGATGCCAAGATCGAAACTAAAAAGATCTATCATGCTTTCATCTAACAAAATATATTTAATAGAGAGGTTACTATAAATAAGTCGGACCTCTAACGTAATTAAAGTTGGGAAGGTTTCTAATGATTCTAAGAAGAAAGAAAGCAATGATATTGAGAGAAGTACCTCACAACCCAAAAATCAATAGAGTCATTGAGAAGGACATAGAAACCATGAAAATCCTAACCGAATCCGAAGCCCTACATCTACCAAATACACCTTCAACCTAACAACCATAATAGCCTATATTTTGGCAAAGTGAAATACAACCATGTCCAAAAACTCGAATGCAACTACATTTCAAAAATCAACCCTACTAGTTATGTCTACCAAATCAGCAAAATCGAGTCCTATTTTCCCAGTTAAACTTACCAAACAAGTTAATTCCTCTAATATGGTTTAACATTAAAAACCATGAAAACTACGCCTTAACTTTTATCATTGGATGAAACATTTAAGCATCTAAGAAACATTAGGCAAATCACCAAATCCCAGTCTAACTTGATGAAACCCTCATGTTTCTCTATGGTACAAATCGGATGAGAGATGTGAATATCAATCATCCGTGACCTAGTATAACATCGATGATTATCTTACTTGTATGAAAAACTCGTTGAATTTGATCAAGCAAGATTTGGTCGGTTTTGGCAATAGTATGATTTTCCTATTTTTAAGAAGAAGCTATCGGGTTTGATCAAGTAACGTTGAATTAATTTTGATAGTGGTCCGAATGCTTCCAATGTGATCATCAACCTACTCCTAAACCATCCGATCATCCATGTATGAATGAGAATACTGAGTGAGTTTAAAAATTTTGGTACGTGCTCATAATTTGCAATTATGATTTTTTTAATTTTATCAAGTTTTAAACTCTACTTCACAAAAAAATGAAAAAAAAAAAACAAACAAAACAAAAACCAATATATATATATATATATATATATTTTAGTCGTGCATGGATTAAGTCGTGTCTTTCAATGAAGGAGTGACTTCTATTCACTTCCAAAAATTCTATATTATATGGTTGAAATCAAGAGATGCTTATTTTAAAAAAATTATTTGGCATTACATCTTTCTCTATCAAAGAAAATATAATGGCATGTCCATTAAAAAGAAATTTAAAATATTGACCAAATTTTAAAAACATGACAAATAGATGCTAGAGATAATTCTTCAATTCATTGAACCCAAGGATACATTCTCCCAATAACCTTTTTGAGAAAAAAAATAAGAGGACAAACCCTCATTTTGTTGAAACCAAAAACAAAAACAAAAACAAATTTTTTATCCTTTCCCAACTAAACCTCGAAGGAAAGTTTTGCTTAGGAAATTATCATGAAGCCCAAAGTGGAAAGCTAAATGATTTTTGTCTTAAAATAATGATGAATAGTACATCTTCAATTCAAGAAATCAAATTGCTTTCATCATTTCTTTGATTAACTTAAGGTTGTTTCAAATTAATCAATGTTTTTTAAAAAGAGATTGTTATTTATCAGCAAAGGAAAATTAGCCCTTGATATAAGGAAAGGTCATCGTTTAAATATCTTATAAAAATTTCATCATTTATCATCCCAATTTAAGTCTAGATAATTTCTTTCATGAACACTCAAACTATGATCACCCTCACATTAGGGGGTAGAATGCAAAGTCCATAAATAATTGATGAATCTCTCAAAAATTTTTATCAAAAAAATCCCATTAATGATTATGAAAATAAAAAAGAATGAGAATGTAAAAAAAAAAAAAACAAAAAAAAGAACAAAAAAAAACATCATTAATACAAAAATTATAAGTCAAAATGGGTGTCAAAATTCAAAAAAAAATAGATAATAAGAGTTGAGGCTAGAAAACAAAGTCAATAGTTAAAATGACAAAGTCACTACGAACAAGCCTAAAAGAAAAATTTCCCATGAATAGCAAAATCACAAAAAAGCCAAACTAATAGCTCCAAGCGACATTGCCTAAAGAGACTTCTATGGACAATGAAGTGATTTGATGTTATAAGACTCTTAAGCATTTTTTGAGCCTTTATATATCCATTGTTTTCATAAATTCAAACTATAGCCCACATTACATGCTTTTGCAAGCCATTTATGATGAAAGATAGTTTACTTATGTTATTTGCTTCTAATCTCAAAATAAAAAGAAACGATTAAGAAAAATAAGAAAATATGACCAATCGGTGTGTTATTTATCATTCTTTAAAACAACAAATCATAAGTTTTTATCAACTAACTTGGGATGAAAAAATAAATATAATCAAGATATTCTTAGGAAAAATTATCCTTTATAACATATTTTTCAAAATACTTTATACTCAAAATTTTTTCATTTACCCAAAATGAACTTATCATTTAACCAATTACCTTTAAGCATATCAAATGGCTAGTTTTCATACAAATTTTGCATAATTTAAACACAATTTTGCTTGCTTAGCCCAACGATTGCATAATAGCATTTGAATTTCATGTTTTGATTTTTGATTAGTCAACTTGAATATCCTTACGAATGAAAGTATTTTCATTAGAACATCTCTATTTTTCTATTAAATGATCTAAATGTTAGTGTAGGTGCTTAAGATCCAATTGTTTCTAGATGGTTTGACTTATTATAATATTGCATTCTTTATTTTATTAATAAAAAAAGTCTTTCTAATAATTCTTATTATTTGTATTTTAATAGAATTAGATAAAAGTCCATATGATATGCATTGCATTAATAATTGATTAAAAGATGTGAGACAAACATTAATATACTTAAATGATATCATTAAATGTCTCAAGTCGTAGTATTGTCAAGAATGGACATTGGTTATATATGGTAAGACATACGAGTAAGCCTTATGAGTGTTGTGCTCATGCTATTAGATAGAGGTAAGAGATCTCACACCTATTGATATGGCAATACCAAAGTAAGCACTCATTTGATTAATGTTAGGGAATATATCGATAGACATGACTCACCATAAGAACCCATTTGGTTTAGTCTATAGGAATCTCCTACGAGATGGGTACAATTGGTTCTTTGACTTGAAGTCATCATGGTTATCTCATTAGAGATTCATGTACTTTGACGATCGTTTCGATGGGCTCGGTTAAGAGTCTGTATGTGGATAATTTGTTGGGTGCACTAGGAATCTAATGGAGATAGGTGGATGGCTAAGTTAGGACATGACATTCCTTGTATGTTAAAAGAGTTATCACATTACATTTCAATAAATGTCTACTCAAGAAATCTATGTCCATAGTGGGAATATACTAATATAGCATAGTTGGTTTACTCGTAGAGTTAAGATATTTAGGAATCAAAGAAAACTTGTGTTTTTTTTAAAAGGGCGATACCATGGTAAATTTTATTATTTTAAAGGAATTTGTACGAGAGAGGGGCAATCCAACCTAACGTAAATAAACCGAAGGGTAAAGAAGCCTAAACCCTTAAGAACTAGAATGTGTTACGAAAGGAAAGAGAATTACCTCAACTTCTATAATTATAGAAACCAAATCTATCATGTCTAAGAGAAAAGCTAACCTCTAAAGATAACTTAGAGAACGAAGCTATTTTCCTTTGTCAAAAGGCACTAATAGTATCGAAAAACCTAATGCTTGAAGTTTCTATCTTTCGCTTGTAGAGCTACTCATGTGGTTCTCTTGAAATAAGTATTCCTTGCATCTATATTAAAATCATATATAAGGGTATCTTCATTCTCCTTGCTATCTATATTTGGATTTTGGTCCAAAATGCAATCCTCAACTCGGTTGCAATTGATAACCGTTTAGTATTATTACGCCCAAGCATACTATCATCATGAACCATTATGTACACCACTCGTTAGAGTCCCCTTGAAAGTTGTTGTTTTCCTAAAATAGCACCTCTCTTCGTAACGATAGGTTGCAATCTGTGAGTAATAGCTCATACGGTACCATACAGTTTATGTAAAGACCCAACTATAGTAGTTTACTTGTTTAGGATGTACTTGGAGTAGCAAAATTAATTTCAATCTCATTTGCTATTTCAATTGAGGTGCATAAGCCAGCAGCACTCGTAGAACTATTCTCCTATCCATTAGGATGTACTAGAGAAGTAATATTAATTCCGAGTCTCATCTGCTATATCGGTTGACGTGCATAAGCTCGCAGACACTAGTAGAAGTATTCCTGTTCATTAGGAGAAGCTGGAGTAGTACTATTAATTCTAGTCTTATCTATTGTATTAGTCAAGGTGCACAACCAACAACACCTGTAGAATTATTCTCCTATCCGAGTATCCATATCAAGGGGACTCTCAACATCGGGCTAAGTAACTAAACTATTCCGTCTTTGTAAAGATTTTGTTCCGGGCATAGTAATGGTAGAAGACAGTTGCTGATTCATTATGGCGGACATAAATTGTAGGCATGACTCCATCATTTTATCGGTATGAATCATCATGGAAGAGCCTATAGCTATACCTTGATCTCTTGTAATAGCGTTATTAGTTATTCCAACTTTAGTTGCCTTTATTGTAGGAGGCTATAGTATGTGTGTATCTCTACTATAGTACCAAATATATATTATTTAGATAACCAGCAAATACAAGTATGATTTCTAATTTACACTAGAGTAGGCTTTATACCTTCATTTTTCCTAAGAAAAGAAGTTGCTTAGAGCTCACTCCCTAAACCCATTTGGATCTCATCTACTATAATAGTATCGATATCGAGTCCAAATGTCCCTATAATAATATCCTCTTGCCCATTATCATTTTCAAGAGTATGACGGATAACATTTACTTATCTATGAATATTAGACTAGTAAATATAGTATCACCAAGCTACCTAGTAATAGTTTATGTTATATTAAGAGATTTTGCATATAGCTCTTTCCTAGTAGCCATTTGATTCTCACCATTTCCATTTATCCGGATAGTGAATATTTCAACTATCTTGGTATAAAGATACAATTTGTGAGATAGATCATCTATAGTACCATGTATAATAAGTGAAGGGCCATCTATAATTGTATGCATGTTATATGAAGGGCATGTTGTTGTCAAATCAAAAACTCCGGGAGGGATAGTATCCCTCAAGACATCATTGTGCATTGTAGTTTTTTTCAATTGGTATTTTTATAATACATAACTAATTTTTAGTATTACATTACCCATAGATGGTATGTTGCACATTTAGGCATTCTGTTTGGACCTCATACTCATCTCCTTTTTGAGTCTCATATGTCGTAATAGTGGGATTACTAAACTCGATATTACATGTCTTTTTGATATAAGGTTATAGGTCGTTGTGAGGGATGAATTCTAATGATGGTTATCTTCATAGCTATTGGTAAGTCTATTTATCCTTTGGGTATATATTATGATTAGTAGATCGAAACACTCTATTTGTCTACTTAACCAAGAAGCTGCTATCCACAAAAGAGTTTTGTTCGAGCCTAATTCAAGGTTCTAGGTTGATGTGCCAAGACTATAACATTAAGAACATTCGACTAGGGGAGTTTATAGTTGCAATATCGAAGGCGTTTATTGCTTTTGTATGGTAGGCATCAAATACGGACTTGACTCTTGTAGTTTATCTATATGAGTAAACTTAGGAGGCTTGTAACTATATTGAATTTTTTTTATAGTAGTGTTGTTTAGTAACTGGAATCCAAACCTTATGGCCTTTCACATTGCCTACAATATTAGGCGAGAGGTTGCTACTTGTAAAGTATTCTTAGAAGGAGAGTTAGGAACCTGGATGCAATGAGGCTTTACGAGATACTTCTTATCAATGACTTATCAAGCCATATCCTGAGCAATATGAAAGGCTACCTTCATGCTCCACATTACGTCAAAAACCCTTCTCTTTTGAGCTACCAATCCAGATTCTTGTAGGGAGTTGTTTTTAAAACATCAACTCAATGCAAATTCTAATAAAGATGGAATGAGTCAAAGAGCAAGTTCTCTCATCTCGCTCTAAGGTAGAAGCCTAAGCACTCCTCTATCCTCTTCAAGGATCCCAATGGAAACCTTAGGGCTGAAACCTAAAATTTAGACTCCATCTAAAACTTTTATACGGTTATGGATCTTGTGATCCTTATTTGCTAGTGCTTTGATTGTGTCTTCTATAGAATGTACAAACACCATTACATGCATTGGATCCAGTAACCCCATACTAGGATCCATATGTAATTGCCACTTATCCTTGATATGTTTCCTTATTTCAACCAAGTTAGGATGTCCAGTCAAAAATTTTAGAACTAATGTATTTGCGAATTGTGCGGCGGCCTTGTCTAGTTCTAGAGGTTAGAAAATATAAGCGAGTTCCTCAATGAGGAAAGAGATCCGTTGTTATAAGTGGAATATCTTTGATAGAAGGTTGTCTAACCTTGGTAGATGGTGTCTTGTTGTGATCTTTGAGCGAGTGCTTGAATAATTAACCCGAAGGTGTTGAAATTCCATAGAATTCGTTCCAAAGGAAATTGAGGAGGGGAAGCAAATTATGGGGCTTATTTTGATCTAGATCCAACTACCTCATTGTTGCTAAAAAGAAAGTTACGGTAGATTGTGCAATTGATGCAGCGAGCTTCATTATTCGTTGCTTTGTTGAACATAATTGTTTGTTTTTTTATGGCTCTTTCATTACTATCCAACTTTTTTGTATTGGTTGATAGTGGAGGGAAATCATTTTGTGAAAGTGTTGGGGATAGATCACATGTTCGTGGTGGGATGTGTGAAAGTGAAATTGTAGCTTTGTGACTATTACATTCGTTGGATAGAGTTTCTTATGTCTATGTTGCTACTACCTTATCGTCCGAATTATTACTGCTAGTTGGTAAAGAGAGGAGGCCATCTTGTAGCCTTAGTGTTAGGTTATCTTGCAGCCATAGTGGGAGGGGTGGTCGAGCCATCATGGCTAGAATCGACAAGGCAAACTAGCGGCTAGAGAGAGGGTTTCTAGGGTTTAGCTTGTTTTCCTAAGTTTCACCTTTGATCATTTTGAAGAAGAAAACTTGTGTGATTGTAATTGAATAGACTATAAACTAACTTCAAAATCACACTATGATAAATTAACATGAGGATTGAATTGTATGATAACTAAGCTCGTGAAAGGTAATCATTGATTAATTAAGCCTCTTAGAGAATTGGGTAGTCATGATGCCTTGCTAGATGCCAATCTTGATTTATGTATCAAGAGATAAAAGAAGTATCTTTCATTCTTGATACATTTCTAACATATCTAGAAGCCTATTGAGTCACACGCATAAGCTTAAACATTCACATAATAAAAGAGAAGCAAAGATTTTGGAAAAAGGTTTCTAGTTTTGAAAGTTTTCTATTTTGGAAAAAAGTTTATGAAAATGAAAAGTTTCTTGTTTTGAAAAAAGGTTTCTTAAAATGAAAATTTTTCTATTTTAGAAATCAGTTTCCTAATTTAGAAATCAATTCCAAATTTAGAAATAAGTTACCTAAAAAGAAAATTAGTTTCCTAATTTAGGTTTAAGGCTAATTTAGGAAATTGTTTCCTAATGTGAGCTTCCTAAAAATATCTAACCCAATTTATTTGGATAGTCCAAATTAATTAGTAATTAATTAGGCCAAAAGAGTTTGGGCTAATAGGCTTAATTTAAAATGCTATAAGATATTTTGGTGGAAGGATAAATTTGAGCCCTATTGGATAAGACTTAGGATTTTAAGGATAAGATGAAAGAAGCCCACCCACATTGCAACTCCTTAACCTTAGAGGACAAGGATGCTGCCTCCTATATAAATAATAGGGAGGGAGGTAATAAAGAGAAGGAATTGACCACACACATATGATAACAAAAGAAAAAAAAAGAGAGAAAGTGTTTCTCTCTCAAAATCTAGAGTTGTTGCATCCCTCCTTAAAAAGCCAATAGTTGACGTATAAACCCCGATTTGATTTATAGAGAAAAGTTAACTATATAAAAGGATTAGATCTAGCACTCTATGATTTCGTGACTTCTTTTATCGATGTTTAAGTTGTATGAATTATCTATGGAGGCTAGACACTTGGACGACTTCTTTTTTAGCAAAGGCTAAATCTGCATTCGTAAAAGATAATCTTTTACTCATGCTTTTAATTCATGTGTATGATTCATTAATTTAACAACTTGATCTTAGAAACCTAAGATGGAGGAAAATTTTTATTTTATTTTGCACCTCTATAGGATGCATTATCCTTCAATTAGTATTAGAGCCTCTGTTGAATCCTTAATTATATGCTTTATTAATTACGATTAATTACAAGAATTATCTATTTTTCATTACAACTTTGATGTTTTTGGTGTTTTATAATTATTTAAAATTGATTTTGGGCTAAGAAATAAGTGAGTGCTCGTGAGGCTAACGTTGGATGTTGGCATTCGTGCGTGCACTTGCCTACTAGGCTAGTCACATGCTGGACATGCGATAGGCCATGCATGCCCCGTGTAAGCCAATCCTTCTAGCTAGGTGTGCCTCATGTCGGCTGGCCTATACACTAGGTGTGCGAAAGGCTAGGCAAGCCTCATGCACACTAGGCCTTCTAGTCAAGCCATTCGAGCGTTGGGCGCACGATAAGCTAGATGTGCCTTATGCATGCCAAGCCTCGCTAAAGAGGCTAGTCAAGCACTAGGCATGCAATAGGTAGGCTTGTGCTTGGAGGAATGCTAGGCTAAGGTGTGCCTTGCATATATCAAGAGCATGCTAGGCATATGCAAGGGCTAGGGATGCCTAGGCGAGGTGTGTGCCCATGCCAAGTAGTAAGCCCGGTGAACGAGCATGCCGGATGCCGGGTCAGCTGTGTGCAAGTACGCTAAGCCAATTGGCGATAGGCCGGTGTTGGACATTGGCTTTTGGGCAACCGAGGCTAATGTTGAGCATCGGCCAACCGGCAAGCCAAGGCTGGTACTAGGCACCGGCCGATGGTTAGCGCCAAGCTAGGTGCATAGGAACGCACCAAGCTAGTGGTAGCTATTGGCCGATACTAGGCATTAGCCGGCTAGGGCTTAGCGAGCCTTTGGAACCAAGGCCCGAAAAGTTTTAAAATTAAAATTTAGAGAAATTTTAATATTTGTTTATGAAATGACCAAAACATGGATTTATAATTATGATTAACATGAAATATGTTTCAATTATATGTCATGTATCAATGTGATTGAAGCATGGGCGAAGAATATGGATGAGTCAACCTAGTTGTGAGAATGTATATTTGTAATTTTTTATTAAATAAGGCATGCGTGTCTTGCTTTCTCTATCATTTTGATGTATTTCTCTTCTCATCTTACTCCCTTTGAATGTAACTTGAGGTTTTTATTCAAAGACTTGTAAAGGTAGAAGATAGGATACTAGAATAGATGCAAAGAGAAGTAGCCAAGAAAAGAAGATAATCTCAAAGAATTTATAATAATTTTTCATATATATACTTAACCCATCATCTCCTTATGGCTCAAGGGGACTAGTAGTAGAAATCCATTACTATTCATCGATCCTTGAGTCATACATGAGCTGTGTGTATTTATGGTGTGATTGATAGTATGCATGATAGGATTAATATGATTGATGACTAGTATGCATGCTAGGATGAGGCTTGCCATATTAAATTCTTCAAATTAATATCAAGTTTATTGCCTTCCTAGGTTATGAGGAGAAAACTCTTTTGGTCATTGTTGGCTTATTGAGATAACTCAAGGTCATTTCTTCTTCGAGTCAATCAAATCATGGGCCATATGATATCCCTAAACGTTTAGTTCTAACTTGAAACAAATTATTGAGTTTGTTAAGATAGCTTAAGGTCCAATCAATTTGTAAGTAAAGATTGATATTCATATAAGATGTGAGATGACAAGGAGTTGTCATGCCAATAAGATTAAGAATTACATTAGATGCAATTGGTAAGGAGTTACCTACCTAATCCTTCATGTATGCCTTATTGAGATAAGTTAAGGTTAATATATGTTAGAGGATAAAATCCTAACCCACTAAGGAAAAAAATCGAAGAGTTTTCTCAAGTCTTATATTGAAGGTTATAGAACTTGAAGGAAATAGTAAGATTGAACATAAATATTACTTCTTAATTTATGCTTTGTTTTATTTATGTAATTCAATTAATAAAATCGTACATTTTTCTATCTTGTTAGATTTCACAGTATGACTAACAACACATCGATACGATTGATTATTGATGGAAGTAATGCCTTTAATGGCACAAAATTTCTTGAATGAGAAATGAATTTGAGTATAGTCCTTCAACATGAGAAGATTCTTGATACAATAGAGACACTTCTCCTAGGTAAGCCTCTTTAGGATCAAGCTGAAGCTTATCCAATATGGGTCAAACATAGAGATGATGCAATCATCTCTTAAAGTATCATACTAATAGCTATGTCATTGGAGCATATGCAGCATGGGTCAAACATAGAGATGATGTAATCATCTCTTAAAGTATCATACTAGCAGTTATGACATTGGAGAATAAGCACCAACATAAAGGCATAAATGCCTTTGATATCATTACAAAGCATAAGAGCTTATTTGAGGAGAATACTAGACACGAGCCCTATAAGGTAGCAAGAAAGCTCTTTAGAGCTAGAATGGAGGAAGGATCCAATGTTAAAAAGCATGTCACTAAGATGATAGGCTATATCGACAGAGCTAACCAAGTTTCAAGTTAGAATGAATATAGAATTATCCATTGACATTGTATTACAATCATTACCTAACAGACCTTAGACAATTCATTAAGAACTTTAACATGATGCACATAAAACATACTCTTGGAGAGTTGTTTTCCACACCAAGGAAGCTCAGCTAGAGATTGATAAAAAGAAAAAAAGTTATATACTTCTTGTTAACAAGGAAAAATGAATGGTCAAGGGCAAGAAAAAGCCCAAGCAATAAAAGAAGAAATTTTCTATTATGTTTACTAGAGGAGTGAAAAAGCTTGAGATTAGAATAATCCAAAAGATGCTGTCTACTTTCATTGCAATAAGAAAGAGCATTGGAAGTACAACTGCAAAGAGTACCTATAAGAGGTGAAGAAGAAGAGTTCTACAAACACCTTAGGTTTATGATACTATATGTGGAGCTCATATTTTTAAAATGTGCGGGAGCTTAGAAAGAGAAGAAAGATAGCTTCGAGGGAGCATGACCTACACTACATCAATAGATCAAGAGTTGGGCTATTAGTTGTAGGCAACTTATGAGTTAGTACTATCATATGGCTTTATGCTGAAATTCAATAGTTAATATTTTATTCCTAGTATAGATTATGGATATTATTTCTATTTCTTGCTTGGAACAATTTTTTCATTTTATGTAAGAATATTGCTTATTCTTTTAAAGATAAATTTTTATATGAAAATGTTTTGATGATATTTTGTATGTTTTGAACATAATGAAACTCTCATATATATAACATAAATGCTAAAAGACTCAAATTATCTAAATAACTAAATATTTATTATAATACCCCAAACTTGTTATTAAATGAGTTAAAATATATTAAAGTTATATGAAAACTATTTCGTGCACTTCGAATAATTTTTTTATGCCTAGTGAATATTTTATTGATCTTTTAGTGTGTGAATAACACCCTGTTATGCAAAATAATTATTTCAAGCATGTTATTTGTGCATGAAAATTATTCTATTTGCATAGAATATTTGTTAGAAGGGTGCTAGCAAATTTTGCTGATTTGGATGAATTTTACTGTGTTCAATGAATATTTTATTTGACTTTTTGATGCATGAATAGTAATTTTATGTAAATTAATTATTTTGAGTGTTTTAATATGCATGAAAATCATTCAATGGGCGTATAAGATTGTTTAAGGAGGAGTAGGAATATTCCATGCACTCAAGTAAATTTTTTATGCTTAGGGAATATTTTGTATAGGGATAAGTACATTTTT